ACCTACATTACATCTTTATGACTGACGCCTTTTATTTATGTTACCTACATACATTTATTGTTCTCAGAACTATTTATTGTACACAGTCACTAATTATATTTAAGTATGAATGCTGATTGTTAATAAAGAAACTTTAAGTACATCTTTACAAAGAAGGCCCTATCTAATTAATAATGTTTATACAGTTCATTTTTTTTATCTGGACTCGTGTTTTTTGTTAGGTTGGTGGGTTATGCCAGTTTGACTTAGTATTTTTAGTATTTAAAAATAGTACTTCTGCTAAAGAATTTAATTAAATACTTTGACACTGTCAAATTGACAATAATATTTATTATTGATAATTTACTTGTCAATTATAAATAAAAAGATAAATATGCCAAAAATAGCAACTAATTTGAATGTAAAAGCCCTTTTGAGGGCAAAACTTCATTTTGATGAAATTATGCCAAATGCCACAATGGAAGAAAAAGTACATCGCCTTATGGATATTTTTGGAGTAAAAAAGTAACGAATTTGAATTTATAAATATTACGTCACACATTATTCACCATTGGACAACATTTATGTTCACAAAAAATTTTAATTTCTTTTATATAAATTCTTTTCAAAGCGAAGATTATTATCCGATAGGAATACTTTCTCTTCTGGGTCGTAAAGCAACCTATATCTAAGTACTTTTTTTAATATGATTTAACTCATCCAAGCACCACCAAAGCCAAATTAATTAATTGTATTTTTTAACTACAAATTTCGACAACTCAACTTGACAACTGCACAATGTAACCTACAATAATTTATACATAACCACAATTAGATTTATAACTAGCTTAGTTTTAATCAATGCTACCAACTTCACAACTGCCGCAGTGCAGATAAAAAAAATTAACTTTATGTATACCTATGCAGGGCTTTCAATTAAAAACTAGCCAAAAAAGTGAAATAAAAAAATAAAGAATTCCATAAAAAAATATTTTAAGCGTTCAAAACGTGCTCCATTATTTGCTTACCAATAAAATGTTATTGTTAAATTAATATTTTAGTGAAGGTAAAGGGGAGAGGGTGGAGCATAAAATTTGTTTTTCACTGGATTTGTACTTTCCCCTCAATATCTAAATCGACAATAGCCTATTTTTTAATGCATTAACATGTTACATGATATGTGAATATTATGCTTCATAAAAACCAACGAACAAAGAAAAAAATGTAGACACTCATTTTTGTTATCGTACAAATGATGTAATAAATCAAAATTAATGTAATTTTTTTACCAGGTTTTTTACAGTTGATTTTCGCAACTGTAAATACTTAAAAACTAATATATAAGCATAATGATTTATTATATTCGACAGGCTGAAACGTTTAATACAATAAAAACTTTAACAAGTTAAACAATTAATCATTTATCCAAGGGAAAAGTTAATGCCTTGGATATTAAGATTTTAATTTATTTTATGTTGTTTTAAAATAATAAAGCAAGTAGACGAAAAGACATGAAAGAAAACAATATTTTAAAAATTGGTACTATTTCTATAAGTTTAATTTTATTTCAATGTTTTTTTCATGGATAACTTGACAGAATAAATTTTTGTAGTTAATATTTTTCTACTTTTTTATTTTTTAATCAAATTTTTAAGGGGGGTGAATCCAGTGCCGTGCTTAGATTTTGTTTAAAAAAATCCCTAATATGAATTTCTAAAAATCCGGTTAAAATCTCACCATAAATAAAGATTTTACAGGGGTGAGTCGCAAACAAATGGGTCACACTGTATATAATATTTTAAGAACTAAGACACATTCATGAGATTTCCGTGGTGGGATTTTAATGTGTGGAGCATAGTACATGTTTCCATGACACCAAGTGACTTTTTAAATACATATTGACACAAGTTGTGGCTTTATGGCGTTTAAGTCACTGGCTGAACTTAGCAACAGCTTTTAGTCACGTGCTAAAGTGAGTTAGTGTCAAATGTCATATAATCGTTAAAATAAAGTGCCTTTCTTTTAAAATAATACCAAATGTGAACATTATTTTATTCTTTCAATGCAAAAATACAAAAGTATTACAAATTTTCTCAACGCCAATATAAAAAAGTTTAAATGCACATTGTACTGACCTTTTGATTTCGCAGGCAGTAAACTAGATTTAAGTGATTAACCATTAAAATTTGTAGGAGGAGACTTCACCGTGAAGTGCCCCTAAAGCATTATATTCAATTTCACTGTGAAACACTGCTTTTATATCGAATTTAATCGGTGGTTAGTCCATTTTTAGTTTACACATAAAAATTTGGCATTTTGACCGCGCCTGTAATACAGATTCCCATCGTACGAACTTGAAGTTAGAATGGTTACCCTATTGTTTTATATATGTGGCTCTATAAAAAATATTAATTTAAATAATTTTTATATAATAATAATAACTTGAAGTTAGAATAGTTACTCTATTGTTTTATAGATGTGGCTCTATAAAAAATTTTAATTTAAATAATTTTTATATAATATTAAGTAATTGTCGTAGAAAAATTATGATTAAACTTTTTTAGACACTCATTTAATTACAATCGCTTGCAAGCTCGCACGTGCCTAATTACAATTCGTGACTAAAATGGCATTTATCAAACTTGATACGTAATATTCTATTAAAAATGGCGAATGCGCCGGGATGAATTCTAATTATTAGGTATTACTTTGATAAATTTTAACTTAAAAAGTTGATCTTAAATTTTCTTCTGTTGAAAACTAATTATGAAAGCTAATAACAAAATAGTAAATAGTAAACAGTAAATAGTAAATAATGAGAAGTAGTATTGTTATATCGCATAAAGTAATGGATAGCAGTTTTAAATTAGCAGGGAAATGTTTTCATATTATGTATACCTATTAAATTTAATATATTTTAAATAAAATATCCAATATAGACAAATTCTGGGAGACTTTTTCTTCTCTGCCTACCCTAAACCAAAAAACAATATATTTTTTTATTTATGTATGGTAAACCACATTGGACACTTAAGGAATATTATTTATTTAAAATTTATATATGCCGTTGTTTTAAAGATTTTAGTTTATAAAAAGGATAGTTTGTTTGTTTAAACTTTATTTACGTTTACTTAAAAATATGAATATTTGAATTTTTAATATTATTTTTATAGAAACATGCAAAAAAGAATAGTAATTGGACATTGTATATAGTAATTGGACACATGGACCATGGTTATTGGACATACAATTTTTATATAATATAACAATTTTATATCAAATAACATAAATTGTTAAATATTTTTTAAAGATGTTGCTGTTATAGGTAATTTTTTTTATTTCGTTTTTGTAAATATCATTTAATTCATATACTTCTTTCTTGGATTCCTCATCCCTTTTCTGGATTCTGAAGGTAACTACTAATTTCTTGGTCTGACTTCTGAAATAGTTTGTTGCAAATATCATTAAGTGTGGTATATATATATATTAGGGTGTCCCAAAAAAAAAGAATATTTTTTTTCTTCTCGTCTCTTGTGAAAATATGTTGGTTTGTCATGTTTTAAGAGCCCTGTCAAAAGATCAGCACCATTAAAAAATTTTTAGGGGTCGCTCAAGATTTTTAAAAATTACCAAAATCGTCAAAAATTGGATTTTTTTTTATTTTAATTTTTTTTCTCTTTCCGATATTATTTTTTAATTTAAAAATAATAATGATTCTGAAAATTTCAAATCGATATTTTAATTTCTAAAGGTCGCTCAAGATTTTTTTAACTTTCAAAGTAGAGTATTTTGAATGTTTTCGAGCGACCTCTGAATATAAATATCAACGAACTTTTAGCGACCTTTAGAAATCAAAATATTGATTTGAAATTTACAGAATTTTTATTATTTTCAACCTAAAAAATAATATCGAGACGAGAAAAAGAATTAAAATAAAACAAAAATTCAATTTTTGACCATTTTGAAATTTTTAAAAATCTTGAGCGACCCCTACAAAATTTTTAATCGAGCTGATATTTTGAAAGGGCTCTCACAGCATGATAAACTAACAGATTTTTACAAGAGACAAGAAAAAAAAATATATTCTTTTTTTTTGGGACACCCTAATATATATATATATATATATATATATATATATATATATATATATATATATATATATCTAATATTTTTTCGGGTGGTATATAAAAAGTATTTTCCGAATTTATTAATTTTGTTGCCATTAGTTTTTTGTGTTCTCTATCATGCACTGTATTAAAATCACTGTTATTCTGCAAGATGTCCTGTGACGACGAAATCACTATATTACTTACTCTATAAAAATGAATTTATCAAAAAAGCCATAGCGAAATAGCAGCCACTAATAATTCTCGTCAACAGGACATTTAGCATGCTAAATGTTCTGCAGTCAATTCCTATGAAATATTATTCGCTGAATCCGAAAACGTTGTCAAAAATTACAAAGGTAGAACAGTTTTTGAAATGTAATCAATTTTACATATAATATGGAATAACTGCTTAACTTTTATAGTTTTTGATGATCTTTTCGGATTCAGGCGACAATTTTACATAAGAATAGCCAAGCCAGGTAAATGTCCGGGATACAAATAGAGTAGTTTTTTTTTACCAACCAGAACACTGGCCATTTTACTGTTTGTTTTCAGAATTAAAATTATAACTCATTAAACTGACAATGTTTAAACCATGAGGAACACATTTATACCACACACTTTTTAGAAATACTTTTTATTGTAATTTAAACATAGCCCTGCTTTTAACAAAAAAAACAAAAATCTTACCACCAAAGTAACGTGCGAGGTTTTTTGTCCTATATTGGACCCAAAATATTGTCCAATAACTATAAACTGTCCGATAAGTGTCTACTTTACCCTACAATCACCTTAAATATTTAAGCAAAAGTTAATTAAACCCTTTTCAAACGAGCGACTGATAATATCGAAATGCCGCAACTGTTTGCGGGTGGTGGAAACGTTTTAAAAAGTTGCGCGTTTTAATTTCAGCTGCTCGGTCGATCCCTACTTGTTCGAGAACTTCAACACTGTCGACGGCGACTTTTTGGCCGCCAAATTTCGGGCCTTCAAATTCCCCGAGTCCACCTACGTCCAGTTCAAGGGAACCGTCAACGTTTGCCTTGACAAGTGCAAAGGGGTAAGTCCAATTGTGTCTGACTACTAATTAAGCCTTTAGGCAAGTCCTAAAAAGTGGCCGACAATTGAGGAGCATTCGTGCAAAACCGGCTATATCCACTTTAATAAAATGTTGGGAAAATGGCAAAAACTCTTGGTTTCCTGGCCTTTACAGATAACAAAAAAAGCAATTGCTTGCTCTCTAAAAGTGAAACAGTGAAATTTTCACTATTTCCGTCAGTGAGTTATTAATCACTGTAAAATTTTTCAATATAAATTAGTGAAATTTTAACTTCTCCAAATTAGTGTTTTTTATTATCACTACTTTTCCGGAACTCTCGACATAAAATAGTGAAATTTTAACTTTTTTGAACTTAGTTATCATAACTACTAAACCTATTTCACTAATTTGTACAGTGTAATTTCCACTAAATAAATTAATGCAAAGAAATCGCTACATGAAAAAGTGAGTATTCACTAATTGCTAGTGGTATACTTATCACTGCGGCAAATAGTTAATATGCACTGTCAATCAGTCAAAATCCACTGTTTCATTTTTAGAGAGTGAGTTTTGTGGGCTTTATGGTACTTGATTTATAAGACATACTTTCGTTTTCAAAAACTTTATATTAAGGCCAAAATTTCAAAAAATGTTTTGTATATAGCCGGTTTTGCTCAAAAACCTACGAATAAAATGTGAAAAAACCTTTATTATTCAAAAATATTAACAAAATAAATTAATGAAAACATGAAAAAACAGAACAAATTTTAGTATCGACATATCGAAGCAACATGCTCATCATTATTATTTATTGGATATAGCGGGGTTTGCTATAAAAACGTGGATTTGGGCGGTTTTGCTCCTAACTTTACCTACCTTTTTAATGTGATTTTAACATGGATATAGTCGGATTTAAACCGAATTATCTTGGTTGTCGATAGAAATGAACCCAAAGATGCGAAATCAAAAAAAAACAAAAACTGAATAAAATGGATTTAGCCGGTTTTGCACGGATGCTCCTTGATTACCGAAACGTTTAACTTAAAACTAGTATTTTTATTAGAATTACTTTTACTCCTTTATTTATATAAACAAATATTGGCATATAACAAAAACTTTACATGTTTGTTAAACAAACTTTGTTTTTTGTGTTTTTTTCTTGAAAAGGAGTTAAAAACATCGGTTTTAATATTAAAATACAATGGTGGTTTAACCTATATTTAGTTGTAAAAGTTATGTAAGTTTTATTGACAAGACAAAGACATTTGACAGGTAAAAATCTATACCTATAATTAATAAGGTAATATTTGATTGTTTCCACCTTTACTTGATGATTCCATAATATTATTATTATTATGTAAAGTTCATTTTTTTTATCTGGACTGCGGCAACGTTTCAAATTTAGGGTTTTGGTTGGTAAATACAGTTGTCAAGTTGGTCGCATTGATTAAAACAAACTAAGCTAGTTATAAATCTAAATGGTTATCTATAAATTATTACTTGGATGAGTAAAATCATATAAAAAAGTAGTTAAATATAGGTTGCTTTACGGCCCAGAAGAGAAAGTATTCCTAGCGGATAATAATCTTCGCTTTGAAAAGAATTTATATAAAAGAAATTAAAATTTTTTGTGAACGTAAATGTTGTCCAATGAATCATTTGAAAATAATGTGTGCTGTAATATTTATAAAACCAAATTCGTTACTTTTTTACTCCAAAAATGTCCATAAGGCGATGTACTTTTTCTTCCATTGTGGCATTTGGCATAATTTCATCAAAATGAGGTTTTGCCCTCAAAAGGGCTTTTACATTCGAATTCGTTGCTATTATTTTTGGCATAATTATCTTTTTATTTATGATTGACAAGTAAATTATCATATATTATATCACGAGAACTATGAATTTAATCGGTTAAACTATAGGCTCAGTAGTTTTTTGTTTGGTTTTTGTTGGAAAATGTTGAATGCAAAATAATTTAATAAAATCACGAGACCGCGCGCGGTCGAGGGGTTTTATTTTTAATTATTTTGCATGAAACTATTTTCCAAAAAGAAAAATCAAATAAAAAACTTACTGAGCATAGTTTGACAGATTAAATTTATAGGTTAAGTGATATACGTCTAGATTATTTCTCAAATTAAAGGAAACTATTTGACAACTCATAAAATCTGACGTATGTGTCAAAATTTATAAATATTTTTTAAAAGAAAATTCCATTAATTTAAGGTATGGAATAAGTAATAATTGATATTTCGTAAACTAGATAACTTATTTTTTATTGTTTTTTAAAAAATGTTTGTTAAAACTTGTAAATAACACCATAAAATCGTAAACAAAAATCCAATATGGAAGCTAAAATTTAATCGCTGTTAAATAGTTCTAGTGATTTAATCGCTTATTTAACCGAAATTTATTCGAAAATTTAAGGCTTTTGATTGGTTCATATTATAATGAGGGAAATAATCAATAATAAATATTATTGTCAATTTGACAGTGTCAAAGTATTACAATTTTTAAATACTAAAAATACTAAGTCAAACTGGCATAAGCCACCAACCTAACAAAAAAACACGAGTCCAGATAAAAAAAAATGAACTGTGGATATAAAAACAACTATGTGTTTTGAAAGTTTCAAGTTTATTTACTTTTGACAATTGTTTAGTCAAACATTGACGACTTCAGAAGGTATTTAAAATTATAATTAAGTGAGTTTATGATACAAAATTTTGGTTCCACCTAAACAATCCTAATACATTCAGAGAAGAGAATAATGATGAAAAAACCTAATTTATTGTGGGGTATTATATTCTTATTATGTGAATAATTAAAATAAATTCAATAACGGTGAATTATTGGTTTTAATTTGATCATTTATTATAATATCAGTTTTTTTTTATTTTGTTGATTTTTAGTGATTCTAATAAATTTAATTTTATGCCTTTACTTTCTACATGTAGAATTTTACAATTATTATTAGGTTTTCCACAATATTTTCTTTCAATATATTAAGCAATTATTGTTCAGGTAGATCCATAAAACATTGTGTTATAAGTTTAGATACATTCTGAAGAAGTCACAGTGAGACGAAAAAATTGTCAAAAATAAATAAATCACGTGAAACTTTGAAAAACATAGTTGTTTTTATATCTACATAATAATAATAAGGTAATAAATCTATTTATTTTATTCAGTATCAGTTAACCCACACGGAGAGAAAAGTATAATGCTGATTACCATAATTATAATAACCTTTACTATAATTTATATTACTATTTGGGACAACTATTTTGTATATTGCTAGATACTATGCATATTTAGTAATTTTTAAATATCCATTTATGTTAAACCTTAAGGTAAAATATTATTATTCACAACCAATTTTGTTTTTAATTCTTATTATAATTAGATTTTTTCCATTACTAATAAGTCTAGTAAATTTTAAAATATGTTGTCATTTTAAACAATTAAAAATTGTAACATATTTATTGTACTTTTTAATACAAAAAAATGTTATGAGAAAGAATTGAACCTACACCTCGCCAAAGTTTTTTGTTTTGAGTGCGTTCCATCAACTTCAAATACCGACAGACAGGTGTTTTGACCTATATTGGGTATCATCAGTGTCGACACGACACTGTCGAGCAACTTGTAGTAGTGGAACACACCCAAAACAAAGAAATACCTGAGCTTATATAACATGGTTGGTAAGCCAACAGAGGCGAGATGTAAGAACATGATCAACAGCGTCTAACGACGCGTCGCGACGTAGCCTTTGCCGCAATCGGTGCATACTATGCAACCAAGTAGGTTCAATTCTTTCTTATATTATTATTACTGGTAATACTTATAATAAGTAATGGCCCATTACTAATGGGTAAAGAAAGTTTATTGAAGAAACTAAGAAAATTGAATGTTTAAAATGCCATGAGTTACTATATTGTATATTATATTTAAATATATTGTTTATTTACCTTAAACATAAAAGTATATTTATTTTTACTATATTTTTTTATTAATGTGTAATATATTATAATATTAGATGTACACCTTACATTTGATTAAATCATATAGTAAATATTACTATTTGTAGACAGTAAAATCAATTTACTATACGAACATGTTAAAAATTAAAATATATATTATACATTTATGATTTAGTTATATTGGTGGTGTAATCTTTACTAAAATTGTATAATAAAAAAAGTATTTTGTATTACAATCTTAATATTGTATTGACGAATTTATAATATTGATACCCTAAAAATTTGTTAAAGTAAATTTTACTATATTTTTTTTACTATCTAAACTTTACTATAAATAGACTCTCCGTGCAGTTCATAAATAAAAAAATAAGCTGTCTTTTATTTAGAATAATAAAAGTTATAATTAAATTATGCATGAAACTCTTCATAGCTAGGTTTATACTTTCACACGTTTGCAACGATCTGATACATGTCCACTTTATTTCATTGTCTAAGGTTTAAAGTCATAAAATTATTTTTATAACCAAAACCAATAAAGCATAATAAAGCACCTTTTTTCTTTCATTAATTAAATAATTCATAAACAAAAACATAAATAAACTGGGTACAAAATAAACATAAACCTCAGCATAATTTCTAATTTAAAATACACATTTCTGAATAGAGGGCAATTGTCGCAAGGTTTCGAGGCCGACTGACTATCGAAGTTGTTTTTAAACTTTGCTAATTAAGGTTTGCGAACGAAATTATATTCAACAATTTAAAGAGTTATTTCGCATTCGACTCGGAGCTAATTATAATTAAGCTTTGTCCATCATTCTACCTGAGAAAAGAATATCTCTGAATAAAACATGGAAATTTCAAAAGCATCGCCGGTATAACAATTTAGGAAATCTGATTAACTTTTGTTTAATAAAGGAAATTGCTTGTTTGAGTGAGCGCGAGCTCTGGAGTCATCCGACGAGAAAGTATTGTCAGGGTTTATTTTGTCGTATAATTATCTATGTGGGTTTGAACTTAATTATGAATAACCATAAATATTCGAAGGGTTTATTAAAAAATACATTTATGTATTTTTTGTACTCCTAACTTTAAAACGTCCATGTTTCCATGACACTAAGTACCTTTTAAATACACATTGACAAGTTGTGGCTTTATGGCGTTTTAGTCACGGGCTGAAGTTAGCTTAAAGTTAGTTGACTTGTAAAATAATACTAAATGTGAAAATTATCCTATTATCTCAACAAAATACAAAATTATTAAATGGTTTCTCAACATATTTGAAAAGTTTATATGAACAATGTACTTTTAATTTTGCCGTCAGTAAACTAAATATAACTTAAAGTCGGGCTCGGACTCCACCGTTAAGTGATAATAAACCATTTTCTTCACTTTCACTGTAAAAAACTGTTGTTTAATCGATTTTCAAGGGATACATTTTGATTTATTATCTTATGTTTATAACACATACAAATTTGACATTTGACGGTTACAAAGATTCCCCTATTGTTTTATAGCTGGCGCTCTATCCAAATACCTAATTTAAATAATTTTTAGATACTAGAAAGTATTTGTCGTAGAAAAAGTATAGTATGCAACTCGTTTATAAACTTTTCTAGACAATCATTAATTTAAATTAAATTCGTGTCTAAAATGGCGTTTGTCAAACTTGATACATAATATAAAAAATAACTTTCCAGTTAAGTACATAAATACCCTTCTTTAAAATGTTTTCATAGCATTTATTATTTTGAACACCTAAAAAATGTATTTTTTAAATATTTTACAATATACAAACCTAAACAGAATTAAAAAACAACAAAAATTCCATTCAAGTGTATAGAAATTCGTTAAAAAATAACGTTTCTTAAAAATAACAAAAAAAAACAATTAATAAAAACTGACAAATGACAAATAGTTAAAAAAAATGGAACATCTTAATATCTTAATATAAAACCCAAATGAAACAAAATATGTAAAAGCGTAGAAATTGGGTTTATATTAAAAATATACAGGGTGTACCACGTAAGTATTCTTGGGTATAATTCTCTTTTTTTTATTTGAAAAGCTACAATGTCAGTTAAATAAGAGAAAAGTTGAGTAATTAATTGCCTATTAACATGAAATTTATAAAATTTGGAAAAAACCAGCGGTTCTCAAAACCTTTTAAAACCAAAAATTGTTATAACTTTGATATTTCTGGGAATTGTGAAACAAAGTCAGTTTACTAAAAAATCCCAGGAATAACGGTTTTTGGTATGGACATATTTTTAATTTTTTTTTTAATTATTCGAGAATCGCTGATTTTTTTCCAATTTTAAAATGCCAATTTAGTAGACTTCTTATAAGGAAACTTTTATCCAATTTATAAATTATTGTCGGTTATAACCGACATTGTAGCACTTCAACTAAAAAGTTACTTGGTGCAGGGTTTCCATATACAAGTATATTAAAGAGTAGGTATATTACAAATAATAGTGGATTATACCATTACGAGGAGAAATGACATAATCAACGACAAAAATATACAATTTTATTGCATAAAATTGTTTTTTTCTGTGAATAAGGATATACATTATAAATTCCGTTGCTAACAATGGGAATAATGAAATCATTATTCACCTTGTTATCATCAGTGATTGGCCGATATTCTCTGTGATTTGAACCAATCAGGTTTTAAATTTGGAGAAGGCGACTATAATAACATTTAAAATTGGTAAAAAGTAAGGTTAACCATTTGACAGCTGTCAGATTTTATTTATTTAATATTGAAAATCATTGAATTACATTTAATTAAAATGAATGAAATAGGGAAAAATATTAATTTTGAATTATTAATTGTCTACGCTCATGAATCTCATTATTGTACTAGGAAAATAAAGATATTATTGTACTAATACAATAAAAAAATTATTATTTTTGTTATTGTTAGTCTTAACTGAATGTAAATAATATGTGCAACTTGTGTCAATTCTAAACACGCATTTATGCCACGCTTGCTTCGCTCGGGCATCAAATAAATACCCGTTCAGAATCGACCATTTTTCGACTATTTTTCTTGTAACTCCTTTAAACTTAATTTATTTTTTTATTTTAATACCTCCACAAATGTCAATATCATTAAAAATTTGTTTTTAAATTCTTTAGTTACCGCACAATAATAAACGCGTAACTATGCAGTTCCGAAATGCTTGGTTTTAATATAAATAAATTATAAGCCACGTTATTAATTAAAAACGTATAGAAAATGTACTATGCTCCACACCTCAAAGTCCCACCAAGTGACCACGTACGAAACGCAGTCTTTTGAAAATTTGGCATTTAAGCCTTTTTAGTTTATGTATCTGTCAAAGTATAGTCAAGGAAAGAAATAATATTTATAGTGTTACCGCTTATGTTTAAGCGTTAAAAGTTAATAAATCTTTATAATATCACAATAATGGTTGGTTTAAGAATTTAGGAATATAAAAACTGCATTTAAGTAATGAAATATGAAAGTATAAGGTGCAATATAAGTGATATTTTTGTGCATTGGGTCTACATTTCTCTATAAAATAGTTTTAACTAAACAGCATTTATTAAAAAAATCTAACTTTTCTATTATTAAATAAGAATATCTGTATCAAAGGTTAATGTATTAGAACAAAAAATATCATCTAATTTTGTATTTTAAGGTTAGAAAAATCCAATATGACCAAAATAAATAAGTGGATTATATGGAAAAGTGTGTTAATATGGTCATAAATAAATATAGGTATACTAAATAATTGTTGAATATGGTTCAAATTAAATTGAAGCTTTTATACTTCTAATGACAAAACTTATGCATACCTCTCGGCATACCCATTTTAAGTTAGATTATAAGAAAACAAACAATTTTTAGAGAAACTTGCAATGTGAAAATATTTAATACTCCCATGACATGCGATTTATTAAAATTTATTTAAATTTTTTATTAAGTTATAATGATTTTTCGATGTATATCAAATTCAGTCGAATTAACTATTTGTATTGACAAAACTTTATGTAGGTACACTTTAAGCTGGATAAGAAAAACTACCACATTTTTAAATACCAAAAATCCAAAATACTTTGACCAAAATAAATTTTTCTAACCTTAAAATTACAATATTAGATGATATTTTTGTTATAATATATTAACCTACCTTTAAAACAGATTCCATAATAGAGAAGCGAGATTTTTTTTAATAAATGCTGTTTAGTTTAAATTATTTTATGGAGAAAACCAGATATTTGGACCAAATGCACAAAAATATTACTTATTTGGCACCATACACTATAGAATGTCATTAAATGCAGTATTTATATTCTTAAACCATCCATTTTTATTGTAATGTTATAAAGATTTATACATTTTTAAGGCCTTAACATAATATTATTTCTTTCGTTGACTATACTTTGACAGATACATAACCTGAAAAGCCTTAAATGCCAAATTTTCAAAAGACTGCGTTCCGTACATAGTCACGTGGTGGGACTTTGAGGTGTGGAGCATAGTACAAATTATATAATTTGATTGAAAAAAAATCGATGAACAGTTTTTTTTAAATGAATCTTTTTTCCAGATCGAATGCAGTGACGGCCAAACTGGCTACGGCCGCAGACGTCGTGCAATCTCCACCTTACCAGCCGACCCCAACAAAATCTTCGAAATAACAATCACCAGTTTCATCAAAGTCAACTACGACGAGGACGGGGAGAACTTCGAGGAAGTCATCAAGAACCAAACGAAAATCTACAACAACAAAAAACTGATAGTCGGCAACCAAATGACAGACGACAAACGATTCTACAAAACAATCGACGACCACCAACAACAGCTAGTGGGCGAATTGAAGGAAGAAAAGAAATACACCTCCATAGTAGCGGAAAATTCTGCTTCCACTTTGTCGACTCTTTCTGTGGCTCAATTAGCTGTAATTTTGTCCATAGCGTACAGATTAATTTTGTAAATATTTAGAAATGTAGTGCAGCAAAATTTATGAAGATAACTGTACATAAGTCTGTGATAATAACGAATACATCAACAAGTTTAGATGATCCTTTGTAAAAACTGCACTTTCCACTCTCTATCGATTTATATGTAATTTTTTTATTGGCGTCATATATGTAAAAGTCATTATAAGGTTAAGTTTGATTTGAAATGTTTACACTTGAGTGGCATTTTTTATTGGTTTAGTGCCTTTATTTTCTATAAAAAGTAAAGTCGCCAATTTAGTGTCATTTAAGAACAAATTTTATTTTTAACCATTTATCCTTAAAATATTAATAAACAATGTAATAGAACTTTTCTGTAAATCCCTGAAAAAATCAATTGCCAATCTCTTAAAGTTTACAATTCTGGGGCGATAAAAAAGAACTAATAAAATGTTTATTGCTTTTACATATATGACTTTAAAACCTTTTGCAAGTTTAGACGATAAAGTTAAAAACTTTATCTGTCTACTTGTATTTATAAGAAACGTTTAAATAAAAACTGGTCTTTAAAGAGACTACTACTTACTAAGAGTTACTACTTACTTTCAATACTCAAAACTACTAGAGTTACTTAATATTTTAGGTTTAAAATTGCAATTAATTTCTTTAAAAAATCACAAAGTTACCCAGCCTAATATTTCTCAATAAAAAAAATTGTAACTTAATATTTCCACGATTTTTTATTTACTTACTGTATATTCTAATAAATATAAGAAGCATTACCTAATTACTTTTAACTTTACTGCCAATTTTTAGCAAAACAACGATTTTAATATAATAATATTAATTGTTTAATGTAACTAGTCTGTATTTCTCAATTAATTTAAATTAATAAAATAAATAACAAAAAACTTATTTTTATTTCACCTTTCGTTTTTTTACTAAAATTATTAAATTTATAAAAATAAAATGCTTTATAATTAGAACCATATGATGGGCAGAAGGGGGTGTTACCCCACACTCGAGCAAAAGGTAGAAACCTTTACTATTAAGAGACGATTTTTTAGTACTACCAACTCTACCTGAAAACAATGTTGGTAATACACCAATTGAATGCTGTTATGCAACAGGGAACCATCCCTCATAATAAAAAAGCGGAATAAATGTATTAACCTGATGGGGTCATGCACAGTACGACCCTATATTTTTAAAGTTTTAAGGGATGTCCACCAAAAATTGTTTCCAGATTATTAAAATAGGATTATTGATTATTCAAAATGTTGAATGCTAAAAATCGCGGCAGATCCTTTTTGTATATTTTTTTAATTTAAATTTTTTTAAAACTTTTTAAACGTATTTTCCCTCCTAATAAATTTATTTAAAAAAATGACGCTAGTGCTCATTCATTTTGTGTTTATTCCAGACAGTCAGGAATTCTCTGTGAATAGACTCTCCTGCCTGTTCTGACCAAATTCCTAAGCCACTGTTTAAAAAGAAAACACTGTCTTTAAGATGATGCAATATGCAATGAATTTTAAGAGTTTGTGATATTCCCCTGTTGTTAAATTTACTGACGCATTCTTGTACCTTTCGGAGAATATGGGCTGATTAATGTTTTGTTGGTCTACTTTATTTTTAATAATTGACACAGCAACTTGTTCTTGTTGCTTATTAGGAACGTTAGTTTTATTTAGGATATGCATAACATTTTTACTGCTTTTGGATACTACACAACGATGAGGCAAGCCCTTTCCAACAACTTGAAGACATGATTCACAAATGTTTTTTACTACGATTTCTGTTGTTAATTATTCGATGTCTTCTATTTGGGTGACTTTTTGACCTAGCAGTTTGACAAATTAGGCAATTACATTTGCGAAAGCCTCTAGTTTCTTTCAGAATTAAATTTTTTTCGAAATTGGGCATTTTTGGTAACTTACGGTTTAATCTGCCGTTTTTTTGTTGAACCAAAGATATTCTACAACGAGTACAAATAGAAATAGGGTACTTGCCTTTACACTCATTAAAGTTTGGATTTAAAAACTCACATATCAGTTCTTTAATTTTCATAGTTATTTGAAACTTTTTAAAATTGTCTTTGTCAAAAGATATTTTCAAACCACAACTAACACACACTTTTTTCCTGTTTTCTTCATGACAACACTTTATTGTTGGATGAGTAGCCATTTTCACCAATAAAATTTTAATATTTTAACAAACTATGATAATTCCACTGAGAAACAATTCTTTTAGGGCTAAAACCACAATTGCTTATAAATGTGACAGTTCAAGCGCTTTGTTTTTGTAGGCTGACATATCGCGGGATACTAGATAATTAATTAATGATGCACTACAATAAAATCATAGCATACTTTGATGCAGTCAATTTTTTTTTATTTAGAAATAAAAAAATATCGATATATCAAAATATATTTTGAAAAAAAATAGTTTCCAATGAAAAAATATCAAAAGGATCTGTTGCGATTTTTACTAATAGTTATTTTTAATTAACAATAAACCTATTATATTAATTTGAAAAAAAGTTTTGGTGGACATCTTTTAAAACTTAAAAAATGCAGGGTAGCACTGTGCATGTAGGGCGACCTTTTGAAAATAGTTTAAAGAAAAGCTTTAAGCTGCATGGTTGAGCCAACTTTCCCTTATATATTAAAATTATGAAAGGATATACACTGTATATTATACAGCGACAAGCGGCTTGGTTGACGATACTTTTGACTAAACGCAATATATTTATACTGCAACAAGGATCCATGCTACTTGGATCTGGTTTAAGTTGAAAAAATAATGTTGACAAAATCAGTATTAAAAATAAATAAAAGAAGATCAGGAGTATCTCAGAGCTAAAATTAAAAGATTTAAAATCTATTACCTTATTCCAAATGATGGTTTCCATGTTATAATAAAACAATAGGCAATAACTATTAGTTTTATTTATTCTACAAGGGACCAACTAACAAATTTATTTATTTTATTGAAAATAATGAAAAAATTATTATAAGAAATAAAAATTTAGTAATAAATTAGCGGTTTTTGTGTTAAAACATGTTTGAAGGACATTTCAGGTCAATATTAGAGAGTTTAAAAATAAAAACAATAATAACAATAAAAACGTATATATTTTTTTGATAATAAATTTCCCGGTTTTTTAAACCAGCGGCTTAAAGAACACTGTGGTCAATCTCTGTATTACGGTATAAAGCTATTGGTATAACATTTTTGAAATTTGAAAATCAAAACAATTAAATTAAATATAAGTGAAATAAATTTTAATTTTTGTTTTCATATATCATCGATAGTGACAATACATGTTGAATTTCGTAACAGGGAACCGTTGTGATTCCTATTTTAGATTTACTGCGAATTGGATTTTGACAACCGAGGTTCGTTATTAAACGATCCGACGAATTTGCACTGACCACGAGCGAATCGATCATGTATTTATATTAATTAAATTTATTGCGATAATTTATTTAATGATAATAACAAAAATTAATTGTTTTAATCCCATTTTTAAATTCCAAAATTCTACTATCTATAGATAGTAGATTTTTGTACTATATAATTCCTTAATTAGGTATCTAAAAATTATAAAACCGTCTTGAAACGCCTTTTACTATTAAACAAATTAAAAAATCTAAGACTCAACAATTTCCTCTTAAAATTGGCTTTAATATCAAGAAATGAAAATGTAAAAGAGTATTAAAACTACCGTTAAACTTGTTTTACCTTGTTTTGCCGTATGCCCTTAAAAATGTTAACAATCATATATAGGGTGGCCCGAAAATAACGCACCATGCTGAAGGAATGGATATTTTAAGTGTATAATAAAATAATTTTCTGACTAGTAGTTTTTAAGTTTTAAAATTTTATTTTATTTTTGTTATTTTCCACACCTCAACTTTAACCCCTAAGCGTGGTTTAGTTACCTGCAAAATTTTTAATGAGAAGGGGGCATTTTGAATTTATGTTTGCCCTAATTTAAAAATTAAAAACCTGTGTCCTCCAAAAAATAAACCAAATTTATTTTATTTGATTTAAAAAAAAGATTTGCTAATAACGACAATAATAAAAAAATTATCCTGAATTGACTCACAAAAATTCAGATTTTTAAATTAATTTTTAACCTGATCCCCGACCACTTTCAAACGAGGATTTTCCAAACCTTTTTACTATCCTGAAGGTACTCCCAAAAATTCAGAATTTTTAATAATTTTTAACCTGAGCCCCAACCACTTTTAATAAAAAAATTATAATAAATTCTAAAAAAGTGGGAAAAAGTCATAATTAAACAAAAAAACTTTCCTGAAGGTACTCCCAAAAATTCAGATTTGTAAATTAATTTTTAGCCTGAGCACCGAACACTTAAAAAAAAAAGAACAAATACTAAAAAAGTGAGAAAAAGTCATAATTAAAAAAAAACGAGTTTCTTTCTTATTTTTAGTATTCCAAAATTCAGATTTTTAAATTAATTTTTAACCTGATACCCGACCACTTTCAAACGAGGTTTTTTAATACTTTTTTACTATCCTGAAGGTACTCCCAAAAATTCAGAATTTTTATTAATTTTTAATCTGAGCCCCGACCACTTTTAATAAAAAAATGGAACAAATCCTAAAAAAGTGGAAAACCTCATAATTTAAAAAAACAGGTTTTTTTTTACTTTTTTTATATCCTGAAGGTACTCCCAAAAATTTCGATTTGTAAATTAGTTTGTAGCCTAAACACCGAACACTTAAAAAAAAAATACGAGTTTCTTTCTTAATTTTTAGTATCCTGAAGGTACTTTAAAACATTCAGATTTTTAAATTAATTTTTAACCTGATCCCCGACCACTTTCAAACAAGGTTTTTTCTTACTTTTTTACTATCCTGAAGGTACTCCCAAAAATTCAGAATTTTTATTTATTTTGAACCTGAGCCCCAACCACTTTTAATAAAAAATTATAACAAATTCTAAAAAAGTGGGAAAAAGGCATAATTAAACAAAAAAACTTTCCTGAAGGTACAAATTCAGATTTGTCAATTAATTTTTAGCCTGAGCCCCGAACACTTTAAAAAAAAAATAAAAGAACAAATACTAAAAAAGTGAGAAAAAGTCATAATTAAAAAAAAAACGAGTTTCTTTCTTATTTTTAGTATTCCAAAATTCAGATTTTTAAATTAATTTTTAACCTGATACCCGACCACTTTCAAACGAGGTTTTTTAATATTTTTTTACTATCTTGAAGGTACTCCCAAAAATTCAGAATTTTTATTAATTTTTAATCTGAGCCCCGACCACTTTTAATAAAAAAATGGAACAAATCCTAAAAAAGTAGGAAAACTCATAATTTAAAAAAA